GCCCATCCTTTTCTACGGTCAATATCTCTGCCCACAGCGTGGACTGTCCATGACACCCAATTCTCATTCGTCTTCGATGCCGTCCCCTGTCAAGTCTATGAATCCGACTCTCATTCGGACCTCTACAATCCAACACTTGGCAGGTGCAGGTGGTCCAAATCAAGCCTTCAACCCATATGCCATGTATCCTTCAAAGGCAGTGCTGAAGGTGAACGGCGATCTGGATTCGATGACGGAGAACTGGTCGCCAGAAGAGCGCAACTCCAAGAGAAGGCTGGTTCACTTCACTAGACGCCAGACTGGTAGCACTATTCATGCTGATTTCAAGTCGGTCTCACCGGCCGATCGCGTACCCAATAGCATCTGCATCAGCTGCATTTATTGGGAAGGCAAGAAAGAGTGCTACGTGACTAGCGTTGATACCATCTACCTTCTTGAATCCCTCGTTGGAGTAAGATTCACGGTCGAGGAGAAGAATCGCATCCGCAGGAACTTGGAAGGTTTCCGCCCTCTGACTGTTTCCAAGGCAAAACCGGAGAGCGAGGACTTTTTCAAGGTCATCATGGGCTTCCCGAATCCCAAGCCGCGCAATATCGAGAAGGATGTGAAGGTTTTTCCGTGGAAGATCCTTTCTCATGCGCTGAAGAAAATTATTGGGAAATACGTATGTATTATTTTTTTATTTATTTACTTCATTCAATTTTTATTCTTTTGCAAGAGACACATGTGCGCCAGTGAATGGCCTTATCATTTTGTAGAAAATGCGAAAAGCTGACCCTTCATACGACAGTCCGCAAGCTACTCGTCTACTGCAGGCACTCTGGCAACGCACATTAGCCCCAATTATGTTAGCACACCAGATGGCAGCGCGGATCTTCACGCCACATCTCCATCAATTTCTGATACGGGCGCCGCTGCCGCATATGCTGCCAACGTTTCCGCAAGTGGCATATCGCCGCATCTACGCGGGCCAAAACAAGTTCTTGATAACGCTCCGGTTTCTGGTTCCGTTGACCTTCGATTAATGGTAACCAGCAACAGCAATAACAACAACCGCCATTATTCGAACCTGCCGGCTCCATACCCTTACCAGAACATCAACCACCCGCAGCCTCAGGCTGCACCAACTGCAGCTGGTAATCGCGATTCGTGGGACTTTGGCGCGTTCGTCAACGCCAGCTCAGGCACCACTACCGGTCCCACCCATTCGCTCAGCTATCCGCGCCAGAACCACCTGGGGAATGTTAGCCAAGATTATAATACTCAACCCGTATATCCGCTGGGCCATCCAACCACTGGACCATAGATTCTGGGAAGAATTTTGTGGTAGCTGTAACCCAATTGTGACTCCCTTGCAACCTACCGATCTCATTAGAAAAGTTGCAATGCTAGCAGGACGCGGGTAGGATCTCCTTTGAAACCTCAGATCCTCACTTGGCAAGATGTGCCTACCCATCAACCGGGTTTTCCTTGGCTGTGATTTTCTTTTTGAGTGACGCTTCCTGACATACATACATGATCAACTTCACGCGACACAAGTTACAAGTTACCAATGCTCGTTCCGTCGTTCCGCTCAGACGATTATTATGGTGTGCATCGATCGTTCCGTGGGTCACGCTCAACGTCCCGTTTGCCATTTTTGTCCGTCGATCCACTCTCTGTTCTATCATGATGTGTTGGCCCTTGCGCTTCTCTCCTCCCTCGCACAAACGCCCTTTTTTAATTTTTTTGGTGATCTAATTCGCTCCTCGGTGGTTACCCATCTTTACACAGCATGAACACGATACTCCCCTCGATCCACGCCCTCTTATCTAAGAAACCGACATAATTCGTTTTCCTCAACCACCATCTACCTAGGAATTCGTCACACTCTCCCCGTCTCCGCGTTGTTCCAAATTTTTTTTTTTTTTTTTTTTTTTTTTTTTTTTTTTTTTTTTTTTTTGGTTTAAATTTTTGATTGCATAGCCCAGTCCATGGGTAAACGGATTTGATTTTGTTAATTTTTTTCCCCCTTTAGGTCCCTTTTTTCACTTTTTTTTAATTTGTTTTTTTCCTTTCCGAACTCAAGCGTCCCCGTCCAACCAGCCACTCCTTTAACCATCCGATCATAGCGATATATGTTTTGTTTTTCGTTCTCCCACTCT